TGCATAATAAATAAATGATTAACAATATACGACGGGCTATTACCCCAAATGATATTACAGTAAGATAAATAAGGTAGAATGAAACTATTATATAGAATAACAAGTGTATTTTTATTAAGTTTATTTTTAATCCTGTTAATTATATAAAGAAATCGATTGGTTTTACAAGTGATATCTAATATGTGATCATTCCACAATAAGTTACTTTGTAAATAAACACCTAAAAATTTTATCGAATCAAGTTTTTTTATTGCGTGGTTACATATGTTAATATTTAAATCAGGAATAGTGTTAGTTACAATCTTAGGACCCATAATAGTATAAGAGCATTTACTTGTGTTAATTAATAATTTATTTATATTAAACCAATGTTCAAATTTAATCATTTCACTATTTATAAGTAATTTTTCATTCATAAGATTTTTCGATGAATAAAATATGTTAGTATCATCAGCATACAAAATACAGCGAAAAGCAGATGAAACATTTGGTAAATCGTTAACAAAAATGATAAAAAGTAATGGACCGAGTATGGAACCCTGTGGGACTCCGCAGTTCAAAGGCAAGACATCCGAGACATGATTTTCCAGCCAAACGTATTGCAGTCTATTTTCCAGATAACTCCCCTGAACCATTGATTAATTTTTCCACGAAAACCATAAAAATTTAACTTTTTGAGAAGCAACGAGTGATTGATCAGATCAAAAGCTTTCGACAGATCGATGAAAATGCCCATCGTAACGTATCTATCATTCATATTCATTAGTATACGATGGGCAAGCTCAACAATTGCCAACTCTGTCGAGTGAGCGTTTCTAAACCCGTACTGATTGCTGGATAAGATATTAAAGCGGTTGAGAAAGGTCATCATTCTAACACTCATTATTTTTTCGAGAATCTTAGAAAATGGAGACAACAAAGAAATTGGTCTGTAGTTGCCAGCATCTCCTTTATCTCCCTTTTTATGTATTGGAATAACTTTGGCTAATTTGAACCGATCAGGAAAAGTTGCCGATTTTAGAGACAGGTTGCATATGTGCTTTAGTGGAACAATGATTTCGTCCACAAACAGTTTGACCATAAACATATTGAAACCATCATCAGACGTGGATTTGTTAGGTTTGAAGGAATTGACAATGCTGAACAACTCAGCAGTATTGATTTCATCTAAGTAGAATGTGTTGATATTCTGATCTGAAAACATTTCATGCTGCAAATTCTGGTTAAATCCGCCTTGGAGTGAATTTATCGTATCAATAAAATTTCGGTTGAGTGTGTTACAAATCTCTTTTTTATCGGAGATTGTGCAATCATTTAACTTCAAATGGTCAATTCGAGTGGTCTGCTTTTTAACATTCATCACTTCATTTATCAAGCGCCATTTTGCCTTTATATTATTATTATTTAATTTAAAAAGTTTGTCGTAAAATTGTTTTTCTGCATTACGTTTAGCTTTTGTAAAACTATTTCTAAGGCATGAGTTTTAAATACTGCTTATTTTTTTCTTTGCAGAGCTTCAGAAGATCCGCATTCATCCAGCTTTTTTTAAATTTAGAACTCACAGGTGGCAAAAACTTACAACAATCATCCACCGTCCTTCGAAAATAATCAAGAAATTTTTGCACACAACGATTCACATCACCATCATTCAAAATGAAATCCCAGTTGGTGTTGTTTAGGATTGTCTTTATTTTATTTACGTTCAATTTGGGTACATTATTTCGATTCGAACTTGAATTAACTTTTTGAACTTCCATATTGTTCGTTAAACAAAAAACAGGATAATGGTCAGACAAATCTGCAATTACAACTCCAGCCTGATGAAAACCATTTTGATTAGTTAGAATATTATCCAAAACTGATGCAGATGTGGTTGTAACTCGCGTTGGCAAATTTATCAAGGCGTGAAATTTGTGGAACAATAATAATCTCTCAAAATTCAATTTATCTTTCGAAGCAGAATCCATGTTAATATTGAAATCTCCTGCAATATAAGTGAGTGAATTACCTCCAAGCAACAAATTTTCGAATAAACTTATAAATTCATCTAAATCAGCACCCGGTGGTCGGTAAACAGATATGATTTTAACATATTTATTGTTGTTCATAGAGATTGTTAATGTCAAAGTTTCTATTGAATCATGCATTACTTTTCCATCGACATTGTAAGCTATCTCATTCAGAACAAAGATTCCAACCCCCCCACCTTTTTTGCTCTGTCTATTATTAAATATGAATTTATATCCGTGTAAATCAATTAAGGGGGAAGTCATATCATCTAACCACGTCTCTGAGATTACAACAACAGTAAAACGAAAAGGAAAGGAATCCAAAAAAAATTTTAAATTACTCATTTTGTGAAAAATATTTCTTGCATTGATATGTATAATAGTGAGAGCATGCTTTGCCGAACTAATGTTATCAAGATTTGAATCATTAATTATTGAATTTGAAACGTAGTAATATTTACAATCACAGGATAAATCATTTTTAACACAATTATTTAATGATGAAATACTAGCCATTATCAACGGATGGAGTTTTAGGCGCTAGATTCGTGTAAAATAACCATTCACGAACATTGGCGTGTAAAGGCCATATATCAGCATTAAAAATTTTATCCTTTTCAATTTCAGGAATACAGATTCTGAAAGAACTATACTCCTCATCGTTGTCATTGGTTTTCTCAGCATTGTTTTTTTGAGGTTGTTTAGCAGGAAATATATTGTGGAATTTGATATCAAAATTTCGTAAATGTTCAGCGACTGTGTCTTTTGAACATGGGGTAATGTTACCAAGGTATATTACTGATTTCTTTTCCGCGCCTTTTAGTTTAAGTGACCCTGTGGTGTCGCATAGCTTCCCGACCGTTTTTTTGATTGGTAGCGAAGTTGGCTTCAAAATCCTTTTATTAACGTTATTGATGTTAGCATCATCTTGTTTACGTTTATTAACTTTATTGGGAACCACCATCCAAGGAGAGCTGTTATTGCTATCAACAGCAACATTATCTGCTGGAAGATTTAATTTCGCTGTATCCAAGTATGACATTTTAGTGGCTTGTTTGACATCAGTTTCTCTGGCGTTGAAAGAGACATTCCCTACTTGGTCACTGCCGGATTGAGGTTTGGTGACGCCACTATGAGACTGCATAAACTTTAAGAACAACTGGTTATTTTTTTCGATGTTGTCTAATCTTTCATTTAATTTATTTAAACTTTCGCATACCATTTTACTATTATCCTTGGCCAGACGTATAGGAACTCTTTCAATGTTAAAAATAACAAATATTGGCAGCTGTTCAGATAATTTATTATCCATCAGTTCAACAAATATGTCAACAATGTCACAAACTTTTTCATATTTATTACTTCCTCGGTTCAACTGTTTGATTTTATCCTTTTTCAACATTTCATATTCGGAAACTAAAATTTTTTTACCGACCGAAATCTCGTCACACGTAAAAAATGATGCAACTTCATTTTTGAAATTATTATCTGATATAATTTCTAAATTCGTACTTAATAGCCATAAAATCTCTGAAATACAAATCCTTTTAGAAGCCATTACAACATATTTCAATATTATACAGGTAGGCTTGATTTAGCACGTTGTTATACGCGAATGTTTAGAGGCAAAATTGTACACAGCTATTTTTAATTAAAACGCAATAAAACAGAAAAAGTAGTAAAAAAATTTCAAAATTAAACGAAACAAACTAATTTATCTAATTAAACCTAAATTTTCGGAACTCTGAAATTAAATAAAGAAATTCTAATACTTTTTAAACGATAATTTGACAAAATATAACGGAACGTTAAACAATGAAAAATCATTGATTAACTGATTGACTATTAATAAAAATGATCATAGAATAATAAATTATGTAATTGTATTACAATGGTACTTACTGAATAACTGCATGCATTGGGAATAGTTGATTGGCAACTCAATGAAGGAAGTTATAGTCTGCTCGCATTTCCTGATCAAAGTAGCTTGATTAGAAACCAGATGACTATTCTGGAACATGAAATTAACAGAAAAGTTATTTAATTAATCAATGTCATATTTAAATTATCATGACATATATCATTTCTGAAACATAACAATCTATCTCTAATTTTGCAATTGCATCAACTTTAAATCTGAATTTAAAGCAAAAACATTTGACAAATGCATAAATTAATTAAATACAATACTATTACAATAAATACTATTACAAATATTACAATGAATTAGCTAGAAAATTATAAAATAAAATTAAGTATTTTTAGTTTATTTATTTACTAACTTCGAAGATTTTTGCTGTAGCTTCTAAATCTCTCAAAGCCTCAAACGCAATCATTTCGTTTGTTCACGTCAAGAATGATCCGATTTGCGATTCCCCCAATGACTAATTACAAATTTAATAGTCTTTTTCTTTTATTAATTATCAATTATCACAAACATGTAATTTTAAACTTTTAAAACAGCAGAGTGAAAATATCCTCCAACTTTTAAAAATATGTATTGAAATAATATATATGTATATTATATATGTTTCAATATATTTATGACTTTCCATAGTTTCAGACAATCTATTATTGCTAACTTGCACGTGTATGTTCTTTTTAGCTTTTTGTCGACTAACGTGTCTTCCAATATTTCAATTAACGTTTCTTTAATGAGCAATTATATTAAATACAAACAAAGAGGTTGGCAAAATCCTAGGACAGTGCCTATCATGCAATTGAAAACACATTATAAATGCGGGAGATATGTAAAAAAAAGAGTGCACCTAAACAACTTGAAAACACATTATAAATGCGGGAGATATGTGTAAAAAAAAGAGTGCACATAAACAACGACCAATGAGATTGTGAGCCATGCCACACCATAATTTATTTTAAACAGGTTATGGGCCCAGTGTAATGTAACAACGTATTCAACAAATGACAATTTACAATAATGTACAACGCTAAATTGCAGCTATCAACGAAGTGACTACTGTTATGTTCTGTTCAGTCTGCAAGTTTGTTCTGTGATTCGAAGTTGACACTTTTTGACGGGTCAGTCGGGAAATATTTCTGTGCTTGCGTCATCAATCTCTTCAAGGCTTGGATGTATTTTCGTTGGGTTTCATCATTCAGTACATGAGCAACATTTTTAGCGAAAATTTTCTCCCTACCAGTACGCGCGTGGATACCCACCATGGTCACACCGATGGGCCACGGGGCGTTCCCTATTGCCATTTCTAGGTAGGCTTCGTTGGCCTTCAAATAATGCCTCTCGATCATGAACTTGACGATGTCGACCAGGCAGGCGAAGATATCGTCAGAGACGGCTTGTTTTTTGAGTTTCCTGAATAAAGGTTTAATGTAGGCAACGGTCTGCATGTGAGTGGCACTGACTACCTTACCCTTAAGACTTCTCTTGACCTCTGGTGGCCTCTTATTGAGTTCCTCACCCCATATGTTCAGTACTAACTTGAGAAACTTGAGCATGACCTGAGAATCCAGTGCCGCGTTACCCTTGCCGAAATCCTCTGACATTTTAAGGACTTCTTCGTACGTTGTACCGTCGTCTTTTACCTTGACGTCAGCACCGAGTGATGCCATCTGTTCAGAGTCATCTGACGACGACTTGAGCAGCTCGTTGACGTAGTCTTCATCCACCTTGTCCATGGCATCTTGGAAGTCGTTTTTGAAACCCTTGTTAACTTCCGGTTCGAGTACTTCTAGCTTCCTCAACCTCAGAAACGATTCGTAGTCCGACTCGCCAAACAATCTGATTGGTTCATCTCTCTCACGTAACCTTCGAATGACCTCCTTCCTGGATAGATTAACTTTCTTCTTTTCTTCCTCTGGGTTATCGCTTGAATTTGAACCCTGGCTATTCTCATCAAAGGAGCACAAAATCGAGGCTCTCTCTTTATCAATTTCCACCTTGGACCGCTTGCTGGACTGCCAGTATTCCTCCCTCTCCTTCTCGACCAACTCCGACCTTTTGAAATATTTCTTATTTGGGGCCAGTAAAGACTTGTTCTCAAGAAGTTGTTTTTTCTTTGCTATTTCTTGCTTTAAAATGTCCATGTTGTTGTCAGATGGGAAAAAAGAAGACACAATCTACTGAGAGTCTGGCTAATCTGGTCTAGACTGAGTGGGAACCAGATAGGGAAGTCCCGCTTGTTACGTCCGGACAAATTAGTGATTTTTTAAAAACAAAGAGGATTTTTATTTTAAACAATATGATCCTCTTTCTCTAACTAACAACTAATCCTTTAATACAAATAATTGCAAAATCCACCATGAAATGAAACAGTATAATAACCGAATGATTACCAAATCAACCTGGACTAACATTTATATAACAATGTCTCGCAAAGTTCTCTTTTAATCCACTTTGTTTTTCAAAGTACCATAGAAAGTTTTACAATCGTAAAATTTATGACTGTCTCAATTCAATGGTTTTAATTGTAACATAAATAAATTACAATTATAATCAAAGCCGTGAATGATTTTAATTTTATATAGTGGATAATAATGTGTAATTGCGAGAAAATTTTAACAAAACTTTGTCTCGAAACTGTACTAATTACGATGATGGCGGATTTTTAAAATTTTATTAAATCTTTGTTCTTTGCTTATTATAATATTTTGTCCGGTTGTACTTTCGATCAAGAGCTTTTCAAAAATAAAATTTCCGCAAAACTTGAAAGGTCGTTTTGTGTAAATAATTTTTTCAAATACTTTTTTCATTGAAATAATGTTTTACGTTAAAATTCACCGAACGCTTCTTGAATCATTTTTGTAGTTCACTAACTACCAAAAAAAATCAATCACTAATTTTTTATTTTAAGATAGAAAGGATTCATTTTGTCTGTCAATCAGCTTTCACTTTCGTTTCACTGACCACGAAATTGAAAATTCACTAAAATACAAGTCATTTAATTACACATGCCATAGCATGACACATACCTATAACATTGCATAATTAATCAATTGAAAAACTTTATGATTACTGAAATTTTAATTCATCATATGTACCTCTATCTAACATCTAACTTAACTTTACTAATACTTTGTTAGTTTTAATAAAAAAAAGAGATAACTGTGACATTTTATTTTTTACCCTAGATGTCCTTGCTTAAATTTGTTAGTTCTTCTCTTTCCTTTGCTCAGAAATGTGCATTTAAGGTTGGACCCCTTAGAAATTTTAAAAATTTTCTATAAATAATTTGTTAAATTAATAAAATTATGCAGAACAATATCAAATGTTATCTTTTCTAACCCCTTTGTTATAATTTCTTCTAATGAAATACTGACAGCTCAGTTAAATAAATATTATTTCTCTATTTAAAACTAAAAAAAATTTTTTTTTTACTAGAACCTAAACAGTAAAATCCAGCATGTGAGCAAACGTTTCCTGAATATTCATGAGTACCAGGCTATGGACTTGCTCAGATCTGCTGGCATACCAACACCCCAATACCAAGTGGCTACTACTTCACAAGAGGCTTTTGATATAGCCCAAAAATTTGGTATCACTTTGAACAATTTTTTTATTCTTTCACCTTTTTAAAATATATTTTGTCAATTCTTCTTTGTGCAAATTGGATTTCTAAAAATGGTGTTTATTTTCAATCACCATTTTAAATATTTTAGCTGTAAATTTTTTGTAATTATAATTTTATATGGCATGAAATTTACTATTTATTGCAAGTGTATTTTAATAAAAAATTTTGAAAAGGCGAAGCTTCGGGGACAAAAGATGTGGTTCTGAAGGCTCAAGTTCTTACCGGGGGAAGGGGTAAAGGTCATTTTGAAAGTGGCCTGAAAGGAGGTGTCAAGGTCGTTTATGAGTAAGTATGTAGATGGAATATTAAAATGTTTTATTTGAATAAAAAAAAAACTATAAAGAAAAAAGAATAAAAAAAGTTGTATGAATAAGTATTGGTGTGTTGTAAACTGAGGAATTTTTGTATGATCTTTGATAACTTTACTTTGCTGTTGATTCAAAAAGTTTATTAGGCTACCATTTAAATTCAACTTTGTTGAAGTCAGTTGATAAGTCAGTAAACTTACTTTGAAATTATTATTATTAATAATTTAATAAATTAATAATTTAATAATTTAATTAATTACTAATTTAATAAATTATTAATTTAACAGTCCTGCTCAGGCTAAAGACATTGCCTCGAAGATGATCAATTCAAAGATTTTCACTAAACAGACTGGGGAGGCAGGCACAATTTGTAAGAAAGTGATGATCAGTGAGAGGGTGTATTCAAGGAGAGAGTACTATTTCGCCATTGCTCTTGACAGGGCAGCCGCTGTATGTAGCAACTGATGATGTCGATGTTGTAGTAGCAGTAGTTGTAGTAGCAGTGGTTATAGTTGCAGTGGTTGTAGTTGCAGATGTAGTAGTCGTAGTAAACATCGTTTATTGTTATGGTTTAAATAATTAAATGCCATTTATAACCATTTTAAAAAAATGTGAAACATTGGTTACCTCCCGTCAGGGTCCAGTTATTCTGGCCAGTTCTCAAGGTGGGGTGAACATTGAAGACGTCGCTCGCGACAGTCCGGACGCGATAATCCGCCAGTTCATAGACATTGAAAACGGAATTCAGGAAGATGAGGCCAAGAAAATTGCAGTCTTCATGGGATTTGAAGGTGACTGTCTGACCCAGGCTGTTCAACTGATCACTAAGTTGTATAACCTCTTTGCCAAGCATGATTGCACTTTGTTGGAGATTAATCCCATGGCTGAGATTTCTACTGGGAAAGGTGAGTATTTTAATAATACGCACACTCCTTTCTTTATCTCCCTCTCTCTTTCTTTCTCTCTCTAACACACGCGCGCGCGCACACACATGTATTCATACACATACATACATGTAAACACATTCATACATACACACGCGCGTACATCACACACACACACCTGCACGCAACACACACGTATTTACAGTCATCTGCATGGACTGTAAGTTGAACTTCGATGACAATGCTGAATATCGGCAGAAAGAGATTTTCGATTTGAAAGACTGGTCTCAGGTCGATGAGAAAGAGAAGAAGGCCTCCGAAGCTAACCTCAATTACATTGCTCTCGACGGCTCTATTGGCTGTTTAGGTTCAGCAGTTGTTTAATATCTCATTGTTTGGTTGGCGTGTATGTGTGGATGTGTTGGTTGGCGTGTATGTGTGGATGTGCTGGTTGGCGTGTATGTGTTGGTTGGCGTGTATGTGTGGATGTGTTGGTTGGCGTGTATGTATGGATGTGTTTGCACGTGATTAAATGCACGCTTGCGTGTTTATTTGCCTTTATTTTATAACATAATTAATGCTACGCCAATTAATATATTACTATTCCTGTTACTTTATCTTTCAGATGCATCAACAACATAGGCTGGAATCTTTTTCTAATTGAATTCTTTCATAGTTGTTTCAGTTTGACTGTCGTTTAAACTTTTGTTACCCTCCATCAAAAAACCAGTTAATGGGGCAGGCCTAGCGATGTCGACCATGGACATAATCAGACTGCACGGAGGTTACCCTGCCAACTTCCTCGACGTTGGGGGCGGAGCTACGAGTCAACAGGTCACGGAGGCCTTCAGGCTTATCACCTCTGATCCGAAGGTTGGATGCTGTTGATGATTTTAACCACAATGATGATGATGATGTATGAGGAAAATAGTGATAGTGGTAATGAAAATATTGTTTAATTTATTTTTCCTCTGAAAGGTCAAGGCCATTCTGGTGAATATATTTGGGGGCATTATGAGGTGTGACGTCATTGCGAAGGGCATCATTGATGCGGCTCATACCCTGAAACTTAAGATACCTATAATTGTCAGGCTGCAAGGAACACAGGTGCGAAAAGATGCATACATACGTACATACACACACACACATACATACATGCACACATACGTACAAACATGTATGTACGCATACACAGATGCATACATAAGCATACACACACATAAAACAAACGCGGAAACTTCTATGTTTGATTGTATGAAAATGAAGTGATCGTAAAGCTTGATGGTAATATTAATTACAATCATTGAAAATTTAGTAGTGATAATTATTTAATTTATTAATTATAATTATTATATTTATTATTTATAATTATTTAATTTATAATTATTACATATATTATTTACAATTGTACTCCAAAAAAGGTTGATGATGCCAAGGCTCTCATTGCTTCAAGCTTCATGAAGATATTGGCCTGTGATAATCTCGACGATGCGGCTAAAATGGTGGGCTGAACGATTGTTCATGTGTGTGCCTGTGTGTGTAAATGACTGACTGAATGAATAAACGAATGAATGAATGAATGTATGTACGCTAGAAATCTAATTCCATAAATTATTATCACAATGCAATCGAATACAAAATTATTTTACGATAAATTTTACAGGATCATTTTACAATTTACGATTACATTTTAACAGGGTAAATTTAATTAATCAATTAATCACCGAACGAGCAGGCAGTGAAGTTGGCAGACATTGTAGACCTGGCCCAACAGGTGGCCGTCGACGTGAAGTTTGAACTGCCCATCTAGACGTTTGGCTTGGGCCGGCTGTTTAAATGGCCGGCCCTATACCCCCTCCCCCCGTCATACTGTAATCATCAACAGCTTCGTCATCTTCATTGTCATTGTTTCGATGCTATTTTTGATGACTTGATGTTGTTGGTTGGTTGATTTGTTTGCTACTGGTTACATATATATATATATATATATATATATATATATATATATATATATATATATATATATATAAAATACCCTAGATGTGATTAATTTTTTTTCGTATGACATTTTTTACCAAAATTTCTGAAATATTGTTATTTAATTTAGTTTTTCTTTCTCTTCTCAATTTCCTCTTAAACAGAGATATTCCTAATTTAAGGCTGTCCGTTAGCTTGTTTCATTGGAGTTCATTAACCTGTTTGTAATGCTTACATAACCCATAATTCTTTATATGGGTGATGAGATTTTCAATTGTATGTATCTGTGTGTGTGTTGGTATGTATGTGTATGTATGTAAGTATATGTGTGTGTGTGAGAGAGGAGAGAGAGAGAAAAAAGAGGAGACTCCTCTAAAGTGTATGTGTGTGAGAGAAAGAGATAGTGAGGGGACTGACATGCACTATTACCGTTCTCAAATTTTTTGGCTTAACACATTTTAAAAAAAAGTTTCTCTAGATATCGTTCTTACCAAATACATACATACGTATATTTATACATATTATAATATATACATATATATATATATGCATCTATATACGTATTCTATGGGGATGGTTATTTATTTATTGCTGTTTTTTAGGTAAATTTTAATAAGAAATAGATCAAAAAGTTGTTTTTGATGAAAAATAATTTGTCAATTGTTGTTGAAAGATTAAAAAGTACGGATTTGGTATTCATTTTATTAAAAATATACGATCTTTGTCTCTGTAGAATTACAATTACATTTTGTAGGTCAGGTAAAGGTTTTTCAGATGCTAGTATATTCAGTAACAGATTTATTCAGTTATTTATTTACTTATTGTTGAATCATTTTATTTATATAAATTAAAAAAGTTATATATATATATACATACATGAATAACAATATCTTTTCTAAAACTACATTTTAAAAACATATTGTTTTCAAGATTGAAGAATATTCTTTTTACAAAAAAAAATAACTAAAGTAGGAAAACAGTCTCAAACGGTTGACACGCACACACACGCGCACACATATATAAAGAATCAAATATCATAAGACAGAAATGAACAATGATAGCTATTAATAATAAATATTCATCTGACTACAGTTATTAATACAGATAGACATACGTATGTGTGTGTGTACATGTGTGCGTACATATGTGTATGTGTGCGTACATGTGTGTGTGTGTATGAATGACTAAGACTTAACCCTTAATGATATAAATTATTAACTAGATAAATCAATGGACATATAAATATATGATAAACATTTAATATAGCAAAAAGCGTGTATTTATAGAAACCAGATATATAAGTAATTAAATAAATTATGAATAGAAATATTATAACTATAATAAATAAATAAATAATAATAATAAAATCAATCATTCTTTTTTTAATGCATTAATGGAACCGTTCAATTATGGATGATATAATTCGGCCTGGGATTCTCTGGTGCGTTCGTATTAGATTTTCAATGGCAGATTTGACCTAAGAAGAGTACGTCAGTTATTATTTTATTCATAATTATTTTATTCATAATTATTTTAATCATAATTATTTTATCATTTTATAATCGTTCGTCACACACGGGCAGAGAGAGAGAGAGAGAGAGAGAGAGAGAGAGAGAGAGAGAGAGAGAGAGAGAGAGAGAGAGAGAGAGAGAGAGAGAGCAGACGAACAAACAAACCTCATCAGATATCTCGTCAATAGTACGTGACTCATCAAACGTTATCGGCTCGCCGAGGTATGTTCTAGTAGTAAGTAAAATGGAAAATATTTTAACATAAAAATTGAAAATAATTTTAATTTAAATACAAATATTATGCCCTAATTGGTAAAGTCGCCTGTTACCGCTTTGCAATGGCCGGGTTCGAATGGAAGAGAGATCTCACTTATCTTGTAAACTAACGACGTGCATGTTGTATGGTGTTTAGTGACGAAGTGATAGGAGGAAACTAATCCTAAACAATTTAAAAACACTTACGTATAAAATAGCGCGCTATATAAAAAATTTTAAATCGTCAAAATTATTATGATTTACGTTTTAATAAAATATTTAATGAATAAATTAAAAAAATAACGTTATATAAATTCTTTTAAATGATAAAATCATCTAATATTTAAGATTATTTTGTACTTCAATTTAACTGGATAGCCTCCATATATAGGTACAAAAGGGAACCTATATCTCTCGTAAAGATACCTGAAGAAACCTTTGGGATATAAACAGATATAATTGAATGCTGAAGATTAAATTTTTAATATTATGTATCTTTTATTTGAATTTACAGACAACTAAAGAAAAAATTTGAAATAATTTTCAATCAAAAAGCTAATGAAAGAACCATATGAAGAAAGATTGATATATTTGAATTAGAATGAATTACTTTTAAAAAGTCCAATGGTTCTAAATGCTTCTCTTGAATTTTTTGTGAACATAGGTATGACAGGCTAGAAATTTTTGTTTTTAAAGAATGATTATTTACAATAATATGAAAACCATCATAAAAACAGAAGAAATTATAATACAAAATCCATTGAAAAATTTAAAAAATGCTAGAATAAGATGAAAAGTTTAAATTTTAAGGTTTTTAAAAAACAAAACTATAGTTTAAAATTCTAAAAATAGTATTTAAAACATTACTTGAAAGAGAGAGAGAGAGAGAAAGCGAGAAAAAAATTTTCGAATAAATAAAATAGAGAGCTGAACATTTTTGAAAATAGAAGCAGCATTTGAAACTGAAAAAAATCAACTAACGACTCCGGCTTCTTTGATCACCTTGGCGAATCCTTTCCTGTTGGCCCATAGGAGGTTGTAATATTCATCACCAAATAAGGCCTCTCTGACGCCACCTATATTTTAAAAAATGTTGAAAAACAATAATTATAAAATAAAATTGGTAGGTAAACACACACACATACACACGCACGCAGGCACATACACACGCACACAAACTGAAGAACACAAATGCAACAAATACATGTACGGCCACAAAAAAAATCTAAATTAGTTGACCTGGAGCTATAGCCATTAGATTTCCATTCTGGAGAAGTTCTGAACAGGTAGCCACGGTTCCAGGTATAACTCGAAGTTCTCTCATTAACATCTTAAATCCTGGTTTGTATGTGTGTATGCGTGCGTGTGTGTGTATGAATGTGTCTGTATTGAAATGTGCACATCCAGCTGCATCTTGTACATCAATAACAACATACCAGAAGAGAAACTCATCAACTAGTTGTATCTATGTATGGATGTATGTTTGGGTGGATGAATTAATGTTTGTATGCTATTGTATGTATACTATACATGATAAATGTTTGTATGCTAATGTATGTAATTGAAAATTGCATCAACAACAGAGCCAGTTTAAATTGAAAAAAATAAAATTTGAAAAAACACCCATCCCTAAATTTAAAGATCAAATACCAGGTATTTTATAGAGCAGATTATCCCCGACACAGTACACGATCCTATTTCTCTTAGAGTAGATGGTGGCAAGGAGATAGTACAAATCGACAGGCAGCGTGGCATGGTAGGATATAATCAGAGCACCACCTTCAGCTGGGATATTAGATAAACCACTGACTTCATAACCTAATTTTAAATTGAGGATGAATTTTAAATCAACAAAAAAATATTAACAAATTTTAAAAAAATAATTAAAAATAATAAAAAAAATTCACAAACCATGCCAAATACTGCCATGAGCAACCCAGACCCCCGCCAGCCACTTTGTCAGGAGTTCTTGATAATTAGTGTAACTGATGTTAAAGAGGTAGCCACGTAAATGAAACAACTGTATGAGCAGGGCGCACATGTAGAACATTACCAAGATGCCCAACGGCAGTAGGAATGAAATGATGACAGGTGTTAGCAGGTGTTGCATCCATTCCGAATACAAAATGCTGACATCTGGTGATTAATTCATTTATTTTTATATCGCTTATTATTTTTCAAAAGCCTAAAACATAGGCATTCCAGGTAGAGAAAGGCGTACATAACAAACAAAACAAAAAGAAGCAGACACACACAGGCAAAACATTTCTAATTAATATTATTCTATTAAATATATTAAAATAAAAAATAATTTTTAAATAACAAACCTATAGGCATTGACCAGCATTAATCAGGGATCAGTTAATAAATACGTAACTGTCATACAGCTTAAATTAAAGCGACAAATTAAAATTTCAGATCAATAGGAATAAAATAAATTTTCACAATTTTTAGATTCACATTTAGTTTTTTTTATATTTCAGATAGAATATTTCATCTGACATAACTAAATCGGTATTTGATCGTTTACTAATTTGGAAAAAGTGATCATAAAGAATAAAATAAACTTCGAAAGTTAACTTTTGTTTCGTTTTTACATAAAATACTAAACTTTTGTTGGAAGAAAAGTTTAGTATGGTTTACTGTTTAAAAACGAAATTTCTTAACAGTGATGGACTGTACTTAAATTTAGAAAAATGTCATTACAGTTTGAACTTGGTACTTTGGTCAAGATATATAACATATATCTTTTGTATATCATATAAATTTACATACGCATTTAATACATACATAAATATTTTATAAAAAATTATATTTTTGCCACGACTATGGATATATATCCATGATTATGACACATGAATCATCTGTAGGAATTGAAATAAAAGACTAGACAAACAACAAATAAAGCGGTGAATATCACATAAAATGTACATACATAAACTATTAACATACATATAAAACAAAATTTAATTATAAAATCTTAGTTTTTACATGATTTAAAACGAAATTATTGTTGCAATAAACTATTTATGTCCTATGTTCATTTAATAGAAAAATAATAATTAAACTTTAGAACTGGAATATAGACAGCAAACCCTCAGACTAAAAAAAGTACCGTTATGTCAATACTGAACCATAGTGCGTGTTAAATATTACATTATTTCAAGGTAGTTATGACTATCGAATTTTAGTTTAAAACTGTATGGTTTTGCTAATTTAAGTTCACATTTATACGCCTAATATTTTTTTTAAATGTCTGCTCATCATTATATAATTTTATCAAATGTAACGTAATTGTAATATTTTTTTAATATTAATAGAATAATATTTGAAACAATTACGTTGTTATAATTATAATTTAACTTTCTAATAAAGATTGAAACACGGAAAGATGCAGCGGACAAATTTTAAAGAAAATGGTACTGCCACAGGCACTACTATTGCAACTGATAAAACTGAAAATGAAGAAAACTCACCAGCAGGTGAACCCGGACAACGACAGCCAACCGTAGCAACATCACTAACAACAACAATTTCACAAAACGAACCAACAGCAACGACATCAAATTTGCAAAATGATAACTCCAAAAACAGTAACAAATGTATGACTGTTCATGAGTATGCAGAGGCCTACAGGACTTGGACTTTTCATCAGCAAATGGTGCAACAGATGAACATGGCTTATATTAATTTTTATTACATGCTCAGTATATTAGGCAGCCACAGTGCCATGCTGCAAAATGCTTGTTGGCCTACGCAAGCTAGCGTCTCCCAAGGGCCCACATCATCATCATCATCATTACTTAGAGATGGGCAAACACAGCAGGAACCCGCTAATAATGCCTCGCGGATCCCACTAAATCGTGTCAACACTGGTGACCATTCAGTTGGAGTAGGAAGAATGGGTAATTGTGTGGGAGTTGATTAATACTAATAGCCATTTAAATTAATTTTTTTTCATAACTGTTAGTATTGCTTTTGCATATTTTTGAAGATTTTTTAGAGATATGTTATGTTTATAATGGAACCTAATGTAACTCTGTGAGAGAATTGTAAATTTTGGAATGAACTTTTTGTAAAACTTGAAATTAGTAGGAAGAAGATGTGAAATTGCCTCACTGTGGAGAAGAGTTCTGGCAGAGTTGATAGACTTTTTCATCTTATTCACTCTCAAACTAGCTGGCTCAATCATGTTCTTCGACTTCATCGATGTCATGTATGTTCTGCCTATGTAATTGACTTCACTGATGTCTTGTATGTACTATCTATGCAACATTAGCTTTTGTTGTTCCATTATTTTCAGACATTTTTTCATTTATTTAAATAAATTTATAATATATTATTTAACAACTCTTATGCAGTGTTATGCATCTTGATTCAATGTATTTATTAATTTGTTAAGATCTGTAGCACAGACATTTATATATTAAATTGTAATATATAATAAATTAATTTTTGCAAACACTCGCAAAAAACAAACCAGAGATCTAGATTTTTACGACCTGCAAAAATTCGCAACTTTGAACTGGGACACAAAATTGGCAAACAGCATTACAAATGAACTGATCATGTTTGAACTGATCAACAGAGTTTTTGTCAGCATTTTCGAGGTTTATATTTCATTTCTTATCTTTTAATTATTATCAATTATTTTAAATTTCTGTTTGATTTATTCTATTTTCCCTGTCAAATTTAAATTTTCACTCAATTACATCTCTATTTCACTTAGTCCCTTCCCTATTTCACTCAGTCACATCCCTATTTTCCTTAATTTTAGGCACTGTGTCTAAGAAGGGGGCCCATAGGATCCGTCGGTGGCGTGACCCCCGGAAAGAAAATGATGGGAATTAGGGTTGTATCATGTTTAAACGTTTCCAGGGCTGATCATAACAAAGTTCTGGTTTTTCCAGCTGGCAATCTTAACTTTTTAGAGTTTGTTTTTTATTTTATTTTCTTCAGATTTTCTTCATTTATGAAGTTGAATAAAATATATAGTTATTTTCGTTTGTTTTTTTTTTCTATTTTAGTGCCCTTATAAGGTCTTTGGTGAAGAATTTCAGTTTCATCTTTTTCATTCCCATGCCCCTGACGGTATTGATGTCGGCACACAGTAGAACCATTTACGACCTTATATCTAATTCCATGGTTGTCTATGTGGGGCCTGATGATGTCGCCTATTTCCGCTGATGAGATGTGTGTGTGTGTGTGTGTCTGTTTGTAAGTGTGTATGTATGTATGTGTCTGTTTGTATGTATGTGTATGTGTGTTTGTCTGTATGTGTGTATGTGTGTGTCTGTCTGTGTGTATTTGTGTCTGTGTGTATGCGTGTTTGCATTTAATGATCTGATTTAATATGGTTGATTGATTTATTATTTATTAATAATAACACATTTTTAATATATTATTATACAAATTTATTTTCTAAATTCAATTCGGATTTTAGTTGTTTGTTACACATAAGCACTTTACTATGAAGCCCTTGAATGGTTTTTTTTTCATATTTTCGGTGTTTAAATTGCAGCCGTTCATGAGAGAGATAAAAAAAGTGCACGCGTCTCAAATTAGTTAGACGCGTGCACTTATCCCATAATACTCCCATTATAAGTAATAAATAATCCCATCTACATGAAATTGCACACATGTTTGTATATTACGTTCGTATAATAGCACAATGTTTGTTTTTGTTCACTGTAGGCATTAAGTGTGGGTGCAAACAAAACTAAAACTAACTCGTAACATGAAAGAGAGAAATAAAAGGTGCGTCCTACCTGCCTATTTCTGCGTTCTAAACTCCTACCTTGTGGGCAAGGTATGTTTGATTTGAAGGGATCTGAAATATGTAACGCGCTTATACACTCTAAGATATCATAAGTTAGATAATTTAATAAGTAGGTAGATAGGATTATTTATATAACTAAGCAATTTGAGGTGCATACAACGGTAAGCTTTCTAATGAGGATCTTTTATATTTTATTGTTAACCCCCCTTTATGGACGGCTGCTTTGACGTGGTAAAAAAGAACGAGAAAGACGAGTAACGAACTCAAAATGTGTCCATTAATTAGAATATTTTAAATCTTTAGTTCAAAATGTAAGTTTTAATTACGTAGGACCTGTTGGATTCGATGTTTTTTTGGATAATGATTGGCGTTAATTCTAATTATATGCGTTAAACTTTCTCAATTCAAAATTTGTTATTTAAATTTACTTTTAATTACAAGTACTATTTAAAAGTAAACAACTATTAAATCGCGCTGTCTCATTTTTGGTTTGAACACCTCAAAAATGTTTGGCGAAAAAGCCCTAGAATTAGTGAAAGAATTGCAACGAGCGCAAGGAAAAAGTTTGCCTCTCTACAATGTAAGACACTTAATAAAAAATTTTGAACTTTGATTCTATAATTTTTGCAATGTAAATCTGTGAATAGACACCAAAACCAAACAGAAGACCAAAGCAGATGCCAAACACTACTTATCTACTAATCGGATTTTTCTTTGAATTTTTTAAAATTAAAAATTTTTTACAAAAACTAGAACGATTTAATAAAGAATGTTCTAGATGAGATGAAAATTCTTTTTGAACAGAACCAAGAAGATGTGTATGTCTTTTTATTTTTGTCATCATTCCATGCTAGTTTTATTAATTTTGAAATTTTTTCAGTCAAAATTTAAAAAAATTTCAAGACTCATTCTATACTTTTTTAATATTTTAATATATTTGACTATAATTTATAACTATGATAAACCTAAATTATTATGGTAATTTAATCTTAAAATACCAGAAAGTTAACCATGGCTGGCCAGAAAGAGTACTACCCAGCTATTCAGATGAGGCATGCTGCTTTGGAACGAAACAAAAGATGTCTTCTCGCATATCTGTACATAATTTTGTTATTTATATCATTCTTTCATTTGGTAAAATTTTTTATTTTCAAGGAAATTATTCAAACATTATATTTCCTATATGAAATTAAATTACTCCTCATGCCAACTTAACTTACTCAGGCAGACATTCATACATACATACTTACACACACCAACACACACACACACTCTCTCTCGTACACACAAACTCACAGATACAACAGAATATCAATCCTTAGACAAATGAGATGGGACATAGGAAGTGTTTTGCCTCTGGAAATTAAGAGTAATTTATCAGAGCATGAAGTTTGTACAAATGTTTTCTTTTTCTCTCTCTCTCTCTCTCTTTCAACATATATTAACATTAATTATAACCATAATATTTACCCATATGTAGATACAATGGTTTACCAAGTACAATAGAATGCTGGCAACTTACATGAGATGCATTGGAGATCACGGAGGCCTGGACCTGACTCAAGATACTAAACCACCTAAGAGTTTATACATTGAGGTTATTATTATTATTCTTTTTATTTGTTATTATTATTTTTTTGATTTATTTTATTGTTAAATTCATAGATTCTTTCATCTTTTCTATCCTAATTCTCTGCTGTTTAAATACTGACAATAGAAATCATGGATGGAATAGAGATTTATTTATCCATCTATTTTTATAAAAATGTGTTTGGTAATGATTCATTTGTTTATTTCTCTCTCTCTCACTTTTTCTCTTTCTCTCTTTCTTTCTCACATTTCTTCAATTTCTTTTCCTCACTCTTTGTTTCTTTAAGTATCTTTCTTTATACATGTATATATACATACATCTCCACACTTCTCTACTTATACATACATCTCCAAGCGTAAAGTACTTTAACATATTTTATCTCTACCCATCTAACTAACGTAGGTGAGATGCCTACAGGACCATGGTGAGTTTGAAACACAGGATGGCAACACGATATTACTGAGTAAAAATAGTCAGGTAGAAAGTGAACGAATAAATGAACGAACAAATGAACAAACGAACGAACGTATAAATAAATAAATGAATGAATGGACATTAAGAGTGAATGGTTGAACAAATGAACAAAAGGATAAACGCCTATACAACTGAATACAATGATATGCGTGTGTCTGCGTGCGTATGTGTGAAATACAAATCTTCTATATTATATATTCAACTGTTAAAGTGTATTATTATTATTGTTAATGATATAAAAATTAACACATTCTTTTACTCTTTTAGCTTTTGATCTATGCATCCATCCATCTATCCATCCATCCATCTATCCATCCATCCATCTATCCATCCATCCATCCATCCATCCATCCATCCATCTATCTATCTATCTATCTATCTATCTATCTATCTATCTATCTATCTATCTATCTATCTATCTATCTATCTACCTATCTACAAAGCAATCGTCTGTATTTCTCTCGCTTTCTCTCAATACATTCATTCTTTCTCTCTATTCCCCTCACTTTCTCAACTTCACTCTCTCTCTCACGTTCAGCACTTCATGATGAGATCCGAATGCGAGCAGATGATCAGACAGGGCATACTGGAGCATATCATCGACTGATCTTTATTATTCTTATTATTGTTCTTATTATTTTTCTTATTATTATTATTCTTATTTTTTGTTACTCCGTCATATATATATTTTCGTCCGTTATTTCAATTATAATAATTAAATACAATTAAATATTACAATTTTAATGATTAAATTCAAACTAAATTCAATTAAATATTACAATTATAAATATTTCTTTCTACCTAAAATTTGTAAAAAAAGAGTTATATTTAACAGTAAAACAACCAACAATTAAAAAATTTGTATTAAAATGGCTACCTACTTAGTCATGTCTGAGTGTAAAAAATTATTGATTTGATATCAAATTGTGGGTAGATACAATACCATTACATACATTTATTCAAGTTATATGTATGTATGTATGTATGTATACACACACACATACTACACAAGAACACATTTAAAACAATGAAAGATGTATATGTACACATATATATATTATGTTTGTCAGAATGTATATACGCTATACATACGTACGTATACATACGCACTACTACACAAAAATACATTTAAAACAACGAAAGATGTTTATGTTTATATATATATATATATATATATATATTTCAAACACGCGCACACATTAAAGAATACCATAACAATAATACGCGTTTGCATGGTTAAATGTACAGCAAAAACCTCATCTAGGCGAGTCTCAATTAAATCAAACTCAACAATCGATTTATTAACTCAAATTAATCTATCAATAAAAAATTTAAATCAATCACATGACATACACATACTCATACAAACGTGCATATATATATATATATGTTGGTAATAGACCATAATTTTTACAATATTCTATAAATTCTACCGAATACAAACATATTAACGCCAAACATTCGGTAGAATTTATAGAATATTGTAAAAATATATATATTATTATTATACATATATATATATTATATATATTGCAGGTATTGCTAAGAAGTCGTAATCAATAATATGCGATCAGTTTATTAACGTTCTGTACATGAATGTATAAATCTAGAATCTACGTATGTATATAGGAACGTGTTTTGAGTGGCTGGCTGACTGGCTGGCTCGCTGAACCTGCAAGTGGGATTGCAAATTAAGATGATTAATTGAGCCTTATTTATGGTAAACTTAATAGAGTTATGAAATATCTTAAAAAAAAGTTAGTTAACAAAAAAACCCTATGCAAGCAGCTATACTCGCACTTTCTCTCTCTCTCTCTCCCTCTCTCTCTCTCCCTCTCTCTCTCTCTCCAAAATATACACATTCATATCTCTCCAAACACACACAAATGAGAACAAAAAAATCTTTCTTACATACTTTCTGCTAGACAATATTAAATGAATTCTTAGCATCATCAGTCGTGGCAGCAGCACTAGAATTAGTATTAACACTACTCTGGACCCCCCTGATTTCATTGTTGTTGTTGTTGTTGCCAGAAGATGTCGTTGCTGTAGTATTTCTCAGCCTAAGAGAACGAACAGAGGAGCGATCGTCGTTTGCAGACGCAGGTTTGTTGTTGTTGGTGGAACTCCTCGCGCAACAGGTATCCACGTGGCAAGTCTTGTCCGGGCCGCACTCGAGCAGGCAGTCAGAGCCTGTTATCAACTCCTCGAACTGTGTTTGCAGTCGGTGGATAAGTGATTGGTTAGTTGTAATTTTTTTTTAATTGTATAGTATAGACGAGGATTAGTTGTAAATGTCTATTGAAGGGCTGAAATTATTGCTAATGTCCATTCATTGTGTGTGTGAGAGAATGTCTTTTGACGGATATTGACTTACGAAAATAAAACGCTGATTGTTTGACTGTGAATTAATTAATAGATTGGTGACGAGAATGAATATATGAGAATGAACGAATGAATGAGAGAAGGGATGAATGAATGGAGTAGTAGTTACCTCGACAAACTCCGGCTGAATGGTTGTGGAATGTATGCCCTCGTTGTGAAAGAATGACTTAACCTCCTCTGCTATCCTCATATAATCTCTCAAGCTCTGACATCTGCAAATAAATCAATATAAATTATTACAATTAGGCAGCAAGTTCTGTGAATAAATTAACATAAATTAACACAATTAGGCATGTTTATAAAAAAAAAACTAAGCAAGGTTTACAAATGGGGTTATTCATTTAATGAGAGTTAATTACTCAAGAGCCCTCCTAAGCACAAAGCCTAATGGTAAACTGTGATATGAACATTAATAAATGAATAAAACTCAAGTATGCGAACACACGTACGTACACACACACACACGCACACAGACATACATACATACACACGCAGACAGACAAACACACCTTATATGTGCAGATGCAATTATGCGACTGCCAGCCAGTTGCCAGACGTGGAACTCGTGCACCGCTAACACGCCACTCACCTGGTCGTCCGGTCGCCCGTGATGGTGATGATGTTGAAAATGATGATGATGATGATGATGATAATGATATTTAATATGATATTCATTGTTGTGAAAATAATTATAAGATAATAATTATAAGATAATAATTATAAGATAATAATTATAAGATAATAATAAAATTATATGATAACAATAGAGGTAGTTATTGATAAAAGTAATTATAATGACGAAAGATATATGATGGCTATAACATTAATTAACATCCTTATCATCATTAATAAGCCAATCAACAGTATAATTATCCCAAACATCATCATCAACATCACAAACATCATCATCAACATCACAAACATCATTATCAACATCACAAACATCATTATCACAAACAGATCAAAGGCCTGGGACATAGTATACAAAGCCATTTAAGTTATATCATTAAGAGAGCAGGATTCAGCTATAATTATTAACTCATAAAATGCTATAATTATCATTCATTCATTTTTAATCATTATAATATTTATTATGGCCGGTTTCATTTAATGCTGAGAGATGATGGAGACTGTTGCATGGCTGGCTATCTATCTATCTATCTATCTATCTATCTATCTATCTATCTATCTATCTATCTGTCTGTCTGTCTGTCTGTCTATCTATCTATCTATCCATCCATCCATCCATCCATCTATCTATCATATATGGCACTTCTATTGTGACAGGAACAATTTAGGATATAAACTTGATTATACTTCACTACTTAAACTACTACAATTAAATTATAGTTATTTTACGGTTGGTTTTTGTTTTGAAACGAGCATAATGGCTTTCTAGTTGACATTTCTTAACATTTCATTTCTTTGATCATTCGTAACTCTGGCTTTGAGAAAAAGAAGAGAGTTCTCGTTTAATTAATTCGAATCTCTAACCTTGCTTAATAGCTTATCTTTGAGTGTAGATACTTTAATGTGTGTCGGTACAGTTTGCAATAGTATCAATGCAGACTCTCTTACTGAATGAATGAATGAATAAATTATAAAATGAATGAATTAATAAATAAATGAATGAATGAGTGAACGAACGAATTCAAAAATGAATGAAGAGGAATGACTAAAGGAGTGTTGGTACTGCTTGCAATATAGTCTCAATACTGATTTTCTTACTATACGTAAACGAATGAATGAGTGAATGAATAAAAGAATGAATAAATGTAGGAGTGAATGAATCAATAAAGGAGTAAATGAATGTAGTAATGAACGAATGTAGGAATGAATGTATGAATGAATGCAGCGATGAATGAAGTAATAAATGGAAAAAAAATGTCACACATATTGAACTCACACAAAGGAATAGTTGTTGATAGGACAATAGCTACTAAGACCAGACTGAAAAAATAAAATGTGTCACAAATTCAATGTTGAACTTCAAAACGTTTCACATTTCAAAAATAAAAGTATATAATCATCATCATCAACACCACCACCATCGTCATCATTACCACCGTTATTATTATTATTATTAATATTGTTTTTATTATTATTGTAATAAAAATAATTGTCTATTCATCATCATTCTCTACAAACAGACACTGAAAGACAAAATAAACTTCCTAATTTAACTGCCTAATTAGCTGCCTAATTTACTGAAAACAAACAAACAACAAAACCTGAGGACCGGATCAATGAAATATTTCCAGTCCTGCTCGATGAAGATGATGCAGATGGCGCTGATGATGACCACGACGGAGCCCAGGGCGTCTCCAAGCACATGGAGGAAGACACCGCGCATGTTAAGCTGCGTGCTGGTCTCTTGTCGAATGAACAAATTTAAAATAGTTTAAAATTTAAGAAATGGAATAATAATGATAATAAAAAATATTCAAAGATAAATTAATGGCACTCACTAATTTTAGGCTTTCCCCTAATGGCGTCAACATCGACTATGCCCTCTTCCGTGTCAGTACTGGCAGTGTCGCTGGGGGCATCTTTGTCCTCTTCTTCCTCATCATCTCCACCACCCACTGCTGCCATAGCAGCTATGGCTGTCTTGACTGTCAATGACTGTACCTCGTTTAGGTCGTCTGCGATAATTATTTAAAATAATTTTTTAACATTTGTGTTATTTTAGTATTTTAAATTTTTGTGGAATTAAATAAAAATTTTCAGCAATAAAACTAGATAAATCATCATTTATTAATTATATGCCTTAAATTTTGATTAATTTCCACACTGCCACGAAGCCAAAAGCTTGTGAGTTACTAACTTGCAAGGAACTTATCGGAACTTGACTTCACAACTATACTCTCAGTGGTGATAACAGGGGTGGTTGCGGTGGTAGTTGTACTGGGGTGGTTATGTGAGTGGCTCCCGCCATGGCTGTGACCATGTGCGTGTCCGTGCAGTAGCAGCAGGCCTGGAGATTAGTAAAGCAATTAATTATTTTATTATGTAGTAAATTAGTCATTTACTTAGTTTTCTATATAATCAGTGAGTTAATAATAGAAATAATAATAGGAATACCAAAGAATGACATACCTATAAGATTGATGACGAAGCCAGCAATGCCGACATACAACAAAACGTGGGGATGTTCAATTTTTTCTGGATTCGTAAATCTCTCAATAGCCTCAGTGAGGATTGTGAAGCACAGAGCAATTAGGAAGACTGAGTTGATTAGGGCACCGACTACTTCAGCCCGGGCCCAACCATATGTGTTTTTGTGGGACCTCAACTTGGATATCTAAATCAATAAAAATGTTTCATCATATGAAAATAACAACAACATAAAAGTCCGTCAATTGATAAAACAATAATGCTTGTCAAAAAGTATTATTTAAAAGTTAAAATTCAACATTTTTACAAATTGCCAACCCTGAGTGAAGCAATTCCAACTATGAGAGCAACGACATCGGACAGCATGTGGTAGGAGTCCCCAATGAGCGCCAGAGAATGAGTCACATGGCCAACAATTAACTCAACCAGGAAGAAAGTTAGTGTCAGAGTCAGCATAGAGCTTAATCTGCACGTCTTTGTGCCCATACGACTTCTACAACTTGCCATTTTTCTTTTTAAATAAAATAATATCAATTGAAATTAATTAAATAAATTTGATCAGTTTTTTTTAATTTAAATTTAAAACATTTAAAACTTATTAAACTAAACTAAAGCCCACTCTGAACTAAAGGTGACTGTTTGTAACTTACTCCTAAGAAAATGTATGAAAATCAGAAATCATAGAAAAATAAAATTTACATTAGATTATGAATAGAACTAAGTCATGTTACTTACCAGGATTGTTTGAACTTTGAAGTTGTGGAGTCTGTAAAATTTTAAAATTTAAATCAAATAAATCCAGTGTAATGTAGCAGTAGTGACCAACTAGAGCCGGGTTTATCTTAGTAATTAGTAATTTTATCTTAAAAAAAAACTAGTAAATAAGATCTATTATCTAGTAAATAAGACCTATTATCTCACAGATTAAAATCGAGATTATTAAAAAAGTGAAATTTATATTTTTAAAATTAACTTCATTATCGTCTACTACGGTCTAGAAAAACAACCCTATAGTATATATTCATGATTAGATAACTTTATAAATTGAACAGTGTTATAAAATTATTAATAACATTTAATTAAATTAAAAAAAAAAACCCTTTTATTTGAAAATGTTTTTTTATTTTTTTTTGTAGATTAAAATACTAAGATTAATAAGTATATAAATAAAACGACAACAGTCCTCCATAATCAAGAAAATATATTATCGCTCGCGTTAAAAGTTCAAAATTTTGAAAACTGACCGAAACTCATTTTTAAGAAGGAAATAAATGGTTTGTCTGTCATTTTATATTAAACCCAAATTATATTTTTTTGTCGACATTAAATTGACTTTTTTCAAATTGGGCAGGCTGTCACTCTGCACACTGATCTGGGTGACATGAAGTTGGAACTTTTTTGTGATCACTGTCCTAAAACATGTGAGGTTGACAGTATTGAATATATATTATTATGACGTTTTATTATTTAAACTTATCCTTACTAAGTTTTCCTATTAAATAAAATAAAGTCTGTAGTTTGTGTTTCACTTTATTTTACTTTTTTAATTTACTTACCTTTACAACTTACATATTTATTAAATTTTTTTTATATTATATTATAATTATATATAACATAACATGATATAATATGGTTTTATTAATACTTTTTATGTTATATAAAAATAACAATAAATTCAATGAATAATAGTTTTTGGTTATTAATTTATAAAGATGACCCAAGCTAACCAAATAAATAATAAAGATAAAACCAAGCTAACTAAATTACCAAATTGATCTTCATTTATTCATTTATATTATAGTTACTCCTTAAATAATATATTATAATTATATTTCCTACAGGTACTTCTGTTTTATGATTAGAGACTCAAAATTAATATATATTTTAATTCAAGACATTAAAACAAAACGTTTTTCAAAAGTTTTTCTAAAATGAATTTTAATATCCATTGTAGATGATTAAAATTAAAACTTTCAAAACATTCTTAATTTCTTAATTTTCTCTAAAAACCTGTTGTTAATAAATCTTTAAATATTATCCTTAACACTGTGTATTCCATCTAGAACTTTCTGGCTCTATGCGCGAGTGGTTATTATGATGGCAATGTTTTCCACAGAAATATTAAAGACTTTATTGTACAGACTGGAGATCCAACTGGTTATTTTTTCTATGGATAGTTTCAAAAGTTATATTGATATCAAGTTCTTTATTCTTGAATATTCATCTTTATTTTTGAATATTCATCTTTATTCTTGAATATTCATCTTTATCCTTGAATATTTATCTTTATTCTTGAATATTCATTTTATTGTTGTTTGTCACAGGCACTGGAAAGGGAGGAGCAAGCATTTGGAAGAAAAAATTTGAAGATGAATTCAATGATACATTAAAGGTTCTTCATTTATTTGGGACTTTATTTTTTCATAATGGTTTACTTAATGTTTATTTTTTGGTGTTTTTTACAAATTTGAAATATATTCTAATGCACACACAAACACACACGCACAAACACAGCACTCAACCAGAGGAATTGTTTCAATGGCAAACAACGGCCCAGACACAAATGGCTCTCAGTTCTTCATAACTTATAACAAAAATCCACAACTTGACATGAAATATACTGTCTTTGCAAAGTATTTGTGGTGTTACTTATTTACTGATTATTTCATTTGTTCTTTTGATAATTTGAAATTTTCAAAAATGAAATTATTTTTCAGAGTGATAGATGGCATTGAAGTCCTTGACACATTAGAGAATGTTCCTGTAAAAGAGAATTCCTACAGACCAATCACAGATGTTAAAATTAGAAGCGTCTCTATACACGCTAATCCATTTGCTAATGTAAACCTTAAAAATTCTGAATAAATTCTGTCAACTTTTTTTGGATCTGATTGCATTAATTACGTTTTTTTAATTATGTGTAGTATTTTTTAGATAAATTACGCGATGTGTCAAAAACTTACGGATTTCCATTACAGAATTTTACATTTTCGTTCTAGGTAGATTGAGTACTTCATGAATCTAGTAACATGAAACTACCAGCTTGATTCGCTATATCAGATTGCCTTACTTGTTGTAACAGTTTCTGCGTCTGTCGGATCCTAACTTTTAAAGAATAAAAAAAAGCCGTTACGAAAAAATCGAACTATAGTTCGAGTTCCGTAACGCATATTGGTAACTATTCGGCCGTTTTAGTTTTTTTACCAAATTTTATATGACTTTTATCAAGTGTTCTCCTATACATACATTTTGATCGGTACATAAGACATGGCGCAATTCAACCCAACATATATCCTCCTACACAGCACTGTTTTATCATTAAAACTGTACATTTCTTTTTTCTAAAGCCTATGCGCATGACTATAAAAGACACGCCTTAGTACCGCTTCCGGGTTTGAAGCCTTCTCTTCGTCTGTTTTTTTCTTTATTGTGTACTAAATTAGAGATTCATTTCATTGTTAGTAGCCATTTTTCATTCATTTCATTATCTTGTTTTACTATTTTTTCACGATTTAGTAAATATTTTTGAGACTAAAATCACGCAAAAGTGCCATCTCGTACTACCAGGATGTTAAATTCCATTTAAGCAGTTTGCGGAAATGATTTCAAAATTTATCTACATCACGGATTCACAAATATTTGTTAATACTTTTCACTATCCAGTGTTAAATTAGTGATAAATTTACTCATTTAGCTCTGCAAAAATGTCTGGCTGGGATTCATACATTGACAACTTGATTGCCCACTGCAAGGACTGCAAGGGCGAGTCCCACTGTGACAAGGGCAGCATCATTGGGTTCAATGGCGCTAAGTGGACTTCTGACACCCACAAGAATGTTACTGATTTCACAATTTAATCATTTTTAGTTTAACTTTGTGTGGTATTTGTCTTTCTGTGCTTCTTTTCTTGGGCTGTATTTTGGCATTTGCTTTTTGATTTTTTGAAAATTAAGTATTTTTGGTTGGATTGCTTGTTGTGTTAAATCCATTAGGAAAGTTAAAGGATGTAATTAATTTTTGAGTCTAGATATTAAGTTATAACAGGAAATGAGACCATATTTATTTATTTATTTTATTTAATAAACAAATTTCAAAATATTATGTTTATTATATTTATAAACACATGAATCCAATTCATGAAAATATTTAAACTTCGATTTGTGACTTTTCCTATTTGCTTTATTATTTATATTATCAATTTATTTACATTTATGCATATCTTAAAAGTAGTTTAAAACTTTGTACAATTTTTTAAATTATTTATCATCTTATACATTCAAGTGGTTCAGTTGTAGGAAAATTCCTGCTAAAATATCAAATGCCTGCTAATATATAAGGCTTGCATGCCAGTTTATAAGTGGTTTTCAAGTTAGGCTGTTGACATGTTATACATAGATCACATGATAACTAATTATAGACCACATTATCCTAAATAAATTAACATATCACTTTACACAATATATAACAACTCACTTTAAACATCACATAGATAGATAATAGTGTTTAAATTTGTATTTTGTTGATACTTCCTGCCTCTCCACCTTGGAAAATTACATTTTTTTTAATAATTTATTAAAATTTTTTTGCATATAGGCTTTGAAAATAACGCAAGCCGAAGCGACCACCATTGGGGCAAGTTTCACCTCAAAGAATTTTAGCAATTTTCAAGCATCTGGCATCGTAGTTGAGGGACAAAAATATCAATTTTTGCGCGAGGAAGATGGCAAGCTGGTTCTGGCCAAGAGCAAAGGTCTGGGAGGTTTGACACTACAAGCCTCAAAAACTGGTTGGTTTTCACTTACTCACTTTTATAATTGAAAAATCAGCCTTAGGTTGTTTTCAATTAGTAAAGGCTGATGAAATAAAATGAACAGGTGTTTAATTCAATTAAAATAAATTAAATTAAATTAATGGTTTAAAATTTTCAAATTATGTAATTTTGAAAAAAAAATGTTTTCCAAAAACAGCAATTGTAATAGGCCACTGCCCTGAAGGCAAGCAGCAGGGAAATGTTAACAAGGGTGTAGCCAACATTGCAGAGTACCTTGAGACGCAGAACATGTAGAAGCTGATGATAGAGATCAAGATGATACTGAGTAAGTGAGTGAGTGATGATGTTGTCGGTGAAGAATGATAAAGAGTGCAATAATATGACTAACTATGTTCAATTGAATCCAACATTTTTGGTCTTTGAAATTTATTACCTATCATTCTAATTTATTATCTATGTATATATAATTTTTTCCTTTCCCTCTTAACAGATGTTTGACCAACAACCTAACAAAGAGCTGACAACAATAATTATTATTATATTTAATATTTTTACATATATATATATATATATATATATATATATACATGTAATTATGTATTTATATATATATATTTATATATATACACGTATACATAAATATTATTCAAATTAAAAGACGTTTGTATTCTTAATTTTTCTTTCTTTCCATTATTCCCTCTATTAATATTTTTATATTATTATTATTATCTGTAATAATTTTTGGTTGTTTAAAATTTATTCTGTCCTATCTATTTACATTTCTATTGTCTCCAGTTTTATATATTTACCACTTATAAAATTATTTCTTCCACTCCTTTCTTTGTTCTTTATTATGAATAAAACCTTTTTTTATGGATGATAATATTAAATAATCAAAAATTATGTCATGTATATATATATATTATATATATATATATAGTGAAGTCTAATGATAATTTTTAGTTGAAAATACTTTTGGCTCTCTTTTTATTATATTTATTCGTTTATAATCTGCCATCATGTGTCATATATGTTAATTATCCGTTCATGCTATAACTCTATTGCTATTATTATCGTCGTTATTGTTTTTTGTTGCTCTATACATATATATATATATATATGTATATATATATATATATTCATTTTAATTGTAGGCATTCCAGACACGAATAGCTTTAAAAACCTATGGTCAATTAATTAATTAGTTAATCAATTAATTAATTGTTTTTGGTAATTCTACTACTTTCTTTATTATGATCCATTAAGTTAACCAAATTTTTTTTTCATTACTTTTTTATATGCTCTAATCATGTCCTACACTTTAGTTGGTGTATATGTGTGCAAGTTTGGATGTGTGTGTGTATGTGTGTGTTTCCCATGGTTTTCTTAGATGTATTGTAATTTTTTTATAATTTGAATTTGATTCCGTAAGTTCATTTCCAAGTTGATGGCTATCTCTGATCAATTTCTCCATCTTCAAATTTGTATTAAATTTTTCAGTTGTTTGGCATAAATGCATTTAGAAATGTACAACACATACACACACACACATACACAACAATATTAACACACACATTAGCGTACATATTTCATACACGTCTATTATAAATGGTGAATATTGTCTGATAACATTCTCTTACAATACAAAGCTTAACTCTATTTGCTATTGTTTTTTAATTTGTTTATTATTAATATTATTATCAGTTATATATTGACTTTATTATACCCATAAAATTTACCTTTTGCCTATAAATAATGATGATACCGTGAGCTTTATAAATGGAATACTCTATTGGTATGTTGAGCTAGTATTAATCTTATTGAATGTTCATTATAGGCCATGTTATACTACTTATATATATATACCATATATATATATATATATATATATATATATATATATATATATATATATGGTATTTGTTCAATTGTTAGCCTAATATTATTTCAATTATTAACACATTCTAATGTTTATAAATATATTTATATATTTATCGTTGTGCTTTCTTCCAAATGTAATAAAATCAATTTATACCTTCGGCTACAATAGGTAGGGCTAATATATATATATATATATATATATATATATATATATATATATAATGTGAAAAGCCCTTCATCAAATTTCAAGTATAAAATGAATGGCTTGCTCTTTCTTCCTTCGAAAGAAATAAATGGTTAAATAGCTTTAAAAAATGTGAGTTTTTCTGTTTATGCAATTGTGTTAATTGATACGCCTTGTAATTATTAAATGAGTATATATATATATAATTGTTCAGCTCAAGCTTCAAGTAATTATGTTAATTATGAGTGGCTTGAAATGTGCATGGTGTCATTATCAAAAGTATAGCTCGTATTATCAGGAGTTCCTGTTCGACCTGTTGTTCGTTCGCCAAGAGAAATCCTTCAGTTCATGTGTGTATGATATATCTAGATATATCGTGTTCGTGTAGCATACGGGTCGGGCTACAGATCGGGTTGGATCGGGCTACATGTTGAAGAGTTAAATCATAATTGTTCGTGATGAATTTGGGGAGCTCCTTCGACGCTACTTTTTCAACAGCCCACTCAGAGTCGAGACTGCACTTCTTAGGGTTGTTCACATAACTCAGCCAGCAACTACAACTCGCAACTGAATGCAATACAAACAATGTAATACATGTGCAATTGTTGTGTATGATGTTGTGTATGAACAATTTTTTGGAAATAGATAAATAGGTTGATTGAATGTTTATTTTATAACCAAGTAGTTTTTGTAATCGATCAATTGATTGATTGATCAATCGATTGATTAATTGATTGATTGGTGAGTTAGATGATTAAAAATCAAACATATAAAAATTTTAATTCAAAATATTTTTTCATCAATCTTTGTCTTTGGTCTGCTGAAAATTTATTTGCAAAAGATCTATGTGTTGTTTACTTGATCTGGTTTTTTGTTGTCTGGCTCTATCTTTTTAAATATTTTTTTAAAGTTCCTTTTTTGTTTAAAGTTTTTACTTATGATGATTTTTATTAATATTTCATTAAATTAGCTAAAAATCAAAAATGGCGGAAATTCGTCAGAGATCGCCTCACGAACCTGTCGTCAATAATAAGGAAAAGGACAGAAAAGCAAAAGAAGATATGAAAGAAAAAGACAATCTGGAAAGTGAAAGTGAACCAGTTAGGGAATTTTTAAATTTAATGAATAAATTAATAAAAATGTTGTTTGTTTGGGGCCCGATTTGTGAATTTATCAATTTTCAATTTTTTCTTTATGCTTCTAAGCTCTGAAAAACTAAAAGGCTAAAAAAAGCTTGATTTTTATTTGGTTTTCAGTTCAGTTGTAAGACAAATTAGATGAAAAATTGAAATGCCTTTGTTATTAATAATTGCATCTTTAATTAGTATTAAGATCACTAATTTTTAAATGACAATTAGCGTAGTTTGAAATTTTTAAATTAATTTTATTAATTATTTCATTAAGATTGGTTAACATACTAATTTAGAACCCAGACAAAGATGATGATGACTTGGTTATCGAAGAAGGTGATATTGGGCCTGTGGATTTACCCCAGGACAACAAAATGACTGAACTCTTTGATGCTAAATTGCATGGAATTAGTCCTCGGTGTGTTCGTTTGTTCATTTATTTGTTTGTTCACTTGTTTGTTTATTCATTAAGTGTTCATTCATTCATTTGTTTGTTTGTTTATTGACTATAGTTCATTTAACTAGTCATTCATTCATATATTTAGTATATATCTGGGTGAATGTGTATGTGTATCTTTGAAATATAATAATATATATATGATAGATAAAATGTATATGTATGCATTTTTTTATAAACCTGTTCACATATTTATTCACATATATATGTATATAGCAATATCTTTACTTTCATCCTTATCATCATCAAAATTTTACTCATCATGTTGGCCATCGTCATCATTAGATGGAAAGATTGGATCATAAGGGGTGTATTCTCCTTACTTATGATCATCGGGTTCTTTGTTATCATCTGGCTTGGGCCCCTCTACGTTGTCTTATTGGTTAATAAATTATATATGTATAATACATTTATATCAACATACATACATAGAGAAAGAGAGAGAGTTTTATCAATGAATTGTAAAATTATATGTATATTAAATTTATAGAGAGAGAGAGAGAGAGAGAGAGAGAGAGAGAGAGAGAGAGAGAGAGAGAGAGTTTTATCAAAGAATTGTGAAATTATATGTATATTAAATTTATATCAAGAGAGAGAGAAAAAGAGAGAGAGGGAGAGAGAGTTGGCAAAAGAATGAGTTGTGAAATAGGATGGTTTATTCCTAAACTAAAGTAAAGATAAATTATGTTGTTATGGGTAGGATGTGTTTAAATGAACTGGTGTAAAAACTTTTATTTGACTAATCATAAAAGATTAATTGCTGTTGATCTTCTTAACTGAAACTTGGTCTTATTTTCAATATTGTCTTCTCAACTATCATCATCAACAACATCATCATCATCATCATCATCATCATCATCATTGTCATCATCAACATCATCATCATCATTATCTTGTGTTTGATTTTTTCTATGATAGAACATTTGGAATGTTATCTGGTATCTCTGTGTTTTTTTATATATAAAAAAAATTATTATGAATTTATTTACATTTACAATTAATGTTTATTTTTATTAAATATCCTTATCACATTTCGTTATTTATCTTATTTAATTCTTTCAAATATTCATTTGTTTAACCAATCAATTAATTAATTTCTCTCATTTTTAATATAAAATGTTTTATTATTGTATATAAAGTTTGCCCAGATTGAAATCAGTAATGTTCATTTCATTCATTTTTATTTGTTGATTTATTGGTTTTTTTATGGATTTATTCATATTTTAATTAATTAATTTATTTATGAATCTATAATGGTGCATGCACTCAGATGCCTGTGGTTAATTGAGAATTCTTAATATAAAAACATTTTTCTCATTGTGCATGTTACCTAAGGGGTATCTTTCTACTTTCAGTCAGTTGAAAGCGTTGATGTATG